TATAACTAATTAAAACATATTAAATTTCCCTCTTACTTTTGCAAGGAGCAGATAAATAAGCAGAATTATTAAATTTTAAAGTATCTTCCAACCAAACCCTATATTTTCCGATTTCTCCATAATAAAAAACATTTTGTTTATCATCACAAACAACATCCAATAAAAATCCCAAAATTGTATTTTTTTCATTTAAAATTGGGGATCCTGGAGAAACCAAACATAGATCCTTGTATTTAAATTTGCAAATAAAGTCATTTCTAAATTTTTTGCAGTTATCCATAGTTAAATTTACTTTTTCTATTGGTGCATATTTTTTCCCAATTAAAACATCTGCTTTTATATTCATTTTCCAAGTAAAAGTATGCAGCATCGTTAGAGGAGCATTTTCTTCAATTCTGGCAAAATTTATTAAATCCGTCATTGGGAACGCGGGGCTTACTTTTAGAGCAGCGAGAGACAAGCTGTTATTTTCAGCAAAAAATATCTATAAAAAGATATATTTTTGAATAGGTAGGTGCAGATAAAATATATATTATATTATAGGCATTATTTGTATTCAATTAAATGTCAAACTGGGCTTGTGGGTAAGGGCAAAGTTCATAATAATAATTATGTATAAAATGCTTGATAACTTAAAAACTAGGTACCTATTGGTATAGGTATACTATTATTAAATTATTAAAATTACAAAACAAATCATAACAAACAACGCATTACACTGTAGATTCTACAGAGACCTGGGGAGTTTAAACCCCAGGTTTCTATAAATTTCCTATAGAAAGTGGTTTCTTTCTAAATTTAATTAATTAACCAATAGGAGCAACGGATTCTCTGTAGGGGTTGAGAATGCGGTGTTCTGATTGCCTAATAACTTCCGATGGAAACCACTTTATAAAGAAAGTAAATTTAAAAATTTTAAGAAACACTCTCATAAAGTGGATTGACAGTCTGTCAATGACATATATGTTTTCTAACGGTTTGTGTAAAAAAATCATACTTTAAATCATCATAACTTTATATTATTAATGGTAGATAATAGATTATGTCATTAGGGTGAGCTTAGCTTCCCTATTGTAAATGACCGATAGAATCCAATAAAAAATAAGTTGAAATGGGTTTTGGCGCTATGAATCACCAATTCATTCCAGTTGCATTCCTATTGGTAAGTTCCAATGAAGTCAGCGGCTTGGATTGGAAAATACCAATCCATGCCCATGCTTGTCTCTATTGGCTAAATCCAATAGAAATACACATGGAATGAATTGGTAATTCATAGCGCCAAACCCATTCAAACCAATTTAAACCAATTTATTTTTAGGTGGGGCAGGTTCGGACACGTTTTTTCAAAAATTAATATTTCAAAGATAACAAATTTTTTTAGACTTAATGCAAATACTACGGATAGCTTAGTCTATTTCCAACATTTTAGCATTATCTTAAGCAAAAAATATTAAGTGGTTTTCGTTTGGTGATATTTTACTTAAAAAAATGCATTTGTCCGAATCTGCCCCATATTGGGGCACATTCGGACAAGTAGTGGGGTACTTTCGGACAGGCCTGAGAAAATTTAGAACCTATTTATTTTTAGAATGAATAAGAGACTATATTAGAAAAAGTTTATTAAACATTATAACCATCAAAATTGACATTAAATTTAAAGAGCGAACACATCCTTGAAGTTCCTGGTGCTGCTTCGGTATTTTCGAAACTATATCTTCTCTGGAAACAGTCGAAATATCTTGCAAGTCCGGAAAGCGGATGCAAGATTCTACCTTGCCGATATAATGAAGTGTCCTTCTGTTGGACGGGTATTTGACAAGCAAATAATCATGACAATGGATCACGTCATCATGCAATAGCATGAGCACATCGTCATTGTCTTGAAACTCGTCCAGAGAATCGGAATCAAAAATTTTTGTCTCATGCACAATATTCTGTGGTAAATCTATATCAGAATCCGAGGAGTCACTTTCTATTTTTTTAACTTTTTCTTCGGCGCCTTTCCTTTGCTCTTCTCCCCAACTTTTGTATCATTTTTCTTCACTTCAAATTCGCTTTGTAATGCTTTTCTTTTCGTGTTTTTTTTCTCCAACTTTTGTTTTCTCATTGTTTCCAATTCTTGAATTCTTTCCTTTTCCGGTGTGCTTGTATAAATTCTGGATTTACCTTTTACCTTTTTTCTTTTTAAATTAGTTACGTACCATCCCAGAAAGTTAAATCAATCAAAACTGGGTTTTATTTGTTAAATGGGGCACATTCGGACAGTCCGAAGCTGCCCCACCCGATTTGTCCGAACGTGCCCCATGTTCCAGAAATACATAGATATCAAAATAAAAATTTGCACATGGTTAACTGATGCTGTTTTATGAGGTTATGTATCGCCAAAGATATTAATATCTGCGGTAAAAGGTATAAAACTTACCTTACTGGTGTTCTCAAGCCAAGAAAGCTTACGATAGCCCTAATAAAATTTATAAGAATAACTATGTTTTTATATTTTCTCAAATAAATAGTTGTTGAGTGATCAAAGTCGCTAAACATGTACGGACCACAGAACTATTAGCGTAGAAGGATATTTACTGTCAATATGGAAACTCTCGTAGCACTTTAAGGCGGTAAATTTGATTTGTCCGGAGGTGCCCCATGTCCGAACCTACCCCACCTTACCCTAATTGGTTTGAATTGGTTTGAAATGGGTTTTGGCGCTATGAATCACCAATTCATTCCAGTTGCATTCCTATTGGTAAGTTCCAATGAAGTCAGCGGCTTGGATTGGAAAATACCAATCCATGCCCATGCTTGTCTCTATTGGCTAAATCCAATAGAAATACACATGGAATGAATTGGTAATTCATAGCGCCAAACCCATTCAAACCAATTTGAACCAATTTATTTTTTTAAATTTGGATTAAAAATACCAGTTGATTTTTCATTCAAAAATAATTAGGATCCCAGAATAATAACCGGGTAAAAACCAGAATTCATTTTCACAGAAGAGACAAAAAAATTATTATAACTATAGTACTTATAAGTAACTTTATTTCTTTATTATTTTTTTGTGTTAGTGAGATATGTATTGATACATATAAATTACTAACACAAAAAAAGTAATAAAAAATAAATAAAATTACTCGGTTATAATCATATTTTGTCTTTCTTGCAAAGGACGTTTGTAGGCATGGTCGAAATCAATTTTATTTATGACAATTTTTTTTATTTTGTCCGCTGTAACCATCATTCTCACGCCATCGTCCCTAAACCTTACACATATAAACAATTTTTTAAGGTATACCTAAGTAGGGTGCTATTAATATCTCATGGCGGATGACCTTGGGTGCGCAAAAGTCTCAAATCCGTCAAATCGCGCTATTATTCGCCGACCTAAAAACATTAAATAGCGTCCAAAGACTTGTTTGTTTCTTTATGATGGCGTCTTAACCATTCGAACAAGGACTGCGTACGTTGGTTTTGCGCAGCTACACGAGATCTCTTTTGCGATATTTTAAAGTATTGGGAAGAATCAATTAGCAGATTCCTTTTTAGAATCTCACACTGGGAATGCCCAGTTGAATTCAATTTGAAATTATCTATGGGTAGCTTTAACCACTAAAAAACAGGAGAATCCTAATTGGACTTCTCCATATTTTAAATTATTGGGAATAACCAATTTGCATATTTCTTTTTAAAATCCTACATTGGGAATGCCCAATTAAATTCAATTGGAAATTACCTATTGCTAGCTTTAACCAATCGAAACCACTAAAAAACAGTACAATCCTAATCGGACTTTTCCATCATGGAAAATACCAGTAAAAACCAATTTCTGTTTTATATCGCTCCCAATTAAACCCAGTAAGTCCAATTCAGACCTATTGATACCAACAAATTCTTCAATTGGTTTCTATAAGTAATTAATCGGTCATTTACAACAGGGTTGTTACTTGTGTAAATTCTGAAGATGGTGTTTTATTTTATCTTTACTAGTAAATTGTTTCTGTTTTGCTTAATTAAAAGGAGTTTTTTTACGACCCCTATGTAAAAGTCACATTTCGTATAGAGTCGTTGCTAAGAAAGTAAATAAATTTATTTGCAAGGCAAAACTCGAATGAAAAGAGACAATCATCTGTAAAAATAAAGTCAGATGAAAAAAAGTGAGTTTAAAACTGCCTGACAGTTGTCAAATGTAAAATGTCAAATAAAATTGGCAATTGACTATTTTTTGTGAATAACTTGGAAACCTATTTTTTAATCTTTTTAATTAGAACAAATTTTGTAGGTACTTTCTCAATCGAGTGTACAATTCCTCCCTGTGACCAATAATCAGATGCACTCCTCAAATAAAACTGCTTATTCAGTTGTTTCGGTACGCATCGGCTACTAGTCAAAGCAAACTGGGGTGTCACAATGACAGCCGGGCATTTAAATCTAGCCGGCGCAGGATCGTCTGCGTAGACGCTCTGAGACAGTGACGCCATTATTGGACTAATTACGACGGTTTTCGGAAAATAACAACCACTTTTTCCTTCGTAATCACAAATATCTTCTGGATCGTCTAATTCGAATCCCTCAATAGATAATCCTAAAAATGTATAGTAGGTAAAAAGAAATACATACCTAGGTAGGTATTTATTTCAAATAAACTTTACTTGTTTTATTATCAGCCAAGGTTCCATTTGCACACCATTCCACACAATCGTAATCATTATTTTTAGTCACTAAGTATACGAGAGTTATAATTAACACGATTATAAAGAAAGGTAAGGAAAAACATAATTTCATTATGAACAACGTTTCTAAAGGCGTTCGCCTACTCCAGCAGGACATGTTGAAATCTTTTACTTTTTATCTGTGCTCTCAAATTTATGACATAAACTGTCAATGTTATTGGGGTGCAAAAAAAATAAAATTATTGGGACATCCTGTATAATTATTTATTACCCAGAGCTAATATAAAGGTATGCAACCAAGATTGCAAACATTTTGACAGTTTCTGATCAAGATCTTAACCTCTAAAAACATTTACTAATGGCAAACTTATAAAAGCCGTAATTTACTCCATCACTTGAAATTGTTGGATTATTTTTTATGTAAGCTCCATTTATTAAGGTTTTAAAACATTGTATGTTCTAAATAAGTATTAAAATTTGCAGCGGTTTAGGTTAAAACGAACGCTTAATTTTGCGAAAAAAAAATGGGAGATGCCGCAGTGGATATCCCCAAGACGATATCCAACAAAGTTGAAGCTCCGCAGGTACGTTTACTTTTTAACGAAACCATAAAACTAACAGTTTAACCGCGTCTAGAAGTGAAAGATCTTGAAAATGGTAAAATCAGGTCATAAGTTCAATTAAGTGGAGCAAGTCTGCGGACGAATTTTAAATGTATACTTGCCGTGGCGCTGTGGTGATAGTAACATGATTTTGCAGGAAAAGGCGAAAATCGAGGCTGAGGTTGTAGAAAATAAGGCCACTCCCGAAAATAGTGAGTATGATAGTGCTGGAAGCTACAGCGATGCTGAACCAGGAGAGGTTAGATCCAGGGGAACAGAGGACACTGGATCAGAATCCGAGGGTAGTGTTATTTTAGAAAGGGAGGAAGGTGATGGGCAAGAAAGTGCACCCTCTAAAAAAGTGGACGATGATGAGGATAAAAAGAATCCCCAGTACATACCCAAAAGGGGTACTTTTTATGAGCATGATGATAGAACAGCTGATGACATGTAAGTAGCACAAATTAAGTTTATTAACTCATTAAATTAATTACATTTGAAATCTAAAATTTGTTCAAAGTAATGAGCAAGAACTGGGGGTGAAATAGGTTAATTAGTTTAAGGCTAAAATTATTTGTATTGTAAAAACAAAAATTTATTGCTGAAACTAATAGTCATTATTTTAATAATTTTTTTTAAACTGACTTATAAAAACCATTAATATGGTAAGTGACATTTCAAAAGCAATTTTACAAAATTTTCTAGTTCTTAACTGTTACTTATATCAAAAAATAGGTGATTGTCCATATTTTTTTTTTAATTCCTGAAAATTCTTGTCTAGTTGGACATTTCAACAACGAAAAAAGCCAAGATATTCTTAAAAGTATCAACTTCAGCTAGATATCAATTCAAGCAAGATAACTGTCATAAATTTAACAATATATTTATTTATATATATATATATATATATATATATCACGGTGCTGTTCTGAGAGGTGATTTTTGGACTTTCTGTGAAACCTAATTTTTTTTATATTCTTGTTAATTAGGTCATAACTAAAATTTTAAGAGCAAAATAAAAAAAATTTGACGGTTTGAATTGTTTTAATTGGCTGTTTATTAAAAATATTATGCACTCTTTCAATTATCCAATTAAAACTAGCGATTTAATTTAAATTTTTAATATTTGCATAACTAAAAAAAAAGGTTTTTACAATTTTTTTTATATATTTTACTGTTTTGTTGCAATAAACGTTCAAACTTTTAATCTAACCTTTGACGTAGGTATACATTTATGTTCCCTTAATTTATATATCCTTACAGGTTGCCAGGAAACTTAGATCTATTAAAAATTTATTTGACGTTTGAATTGTCATTTTCAGTATACGTATTCTAAAATTTTTGTTTAGTTTTTTAAAGTGTTTTTTATAAACAAAAATGAAAAATTGTAGTAAAAGTTACGAAGAAATTCATGAAATTTAACTAAGGACCGGTTTATTCATCTTTAGTAAAGTTTATCGGGCCGATAACTTTCATGTCTTGGCAATATTTAAATTAGTATCCAAAGAAATTATTCGTCAAATAAATCAAAAATGAATAAATCGGCCCTAAATAAAATGTGGCACCCTTAGAATTATTGTTTAATAAATGTATATACTATACATTTAACCTTAAATTAAAACTTTAAACGTGTATTACAACAAAACAGTAAAAGATATAAAAAATGTATAGACCTTTTTTAAGGAAATTAACTAATCTTTAATCTGATTTAAAAAGTTATGATAATATTTAAATAAAATCGCAAGTTTTAATTGGAGAATTGAAAGTGTGCATACATATTTTTAATAAACATCCAATTAAAACAAAATTAACCGTCAAATTTTTTTTATTTTGCTCTTAAAATTTTATTTATGACCTAATTAACAAGAATATAAAAAAAAATTAGGTTTCACAGAAAGTCCAAAAATCACCTCTCAGAACAGCACCGTGATATGTATATTAGGGTGATTCATTTCCACAAAAAACTTTTTTTTCTCGGCGCTCAAGCAAAATATTAATCTACCTATAGAAAAAATTTTTTTTACCAAGGTAGAGCTCTTAATATCAATTTTAAGTACTTGCGGTTTAAAATTAAAGTTTTCCCATTTAAAATGCATGTAAAAAAAATGTTTTTTTTTTTCAAATTTCTAATGCTCGCCCGCTTTTTACAATATTGTGAATCGGTTTTATGGACCTTATAGGGAATTTCACGCTCTTCAAAATTGTCTTTGTGTTTTTTTGTGTAACTCTTAGTGGTTCGCCAGTAGGAGTCATCAAAGTTCAATTTTTTGAGTGAACATTTTTTTTTGCAATTTTTTTTAACAATTCGCAAAAAATAGTGAAAAAAAGAGCTGAATCGTAAAAAATAGTCTTTTAACAAATATTTGATGAATTTACGGCCATTTTTATATCTTAAAACGTAAGTAATTGATAAATATTTACCAATTATGCTATTTAAATTAAACTTTCTTATTTACGATATAATTCTCTACAACAATAACTTTTCCAGAGTTATTATGATTTTTGTTGACAATAAAAACAATTTACTTTTTCGTTAATTAAAGAATTTTGTTAAAAAAATTGAATAACCTTCATTTATATTTATTGCTATATTACGGAAATGTTGAAAAATTGCAGAATCTATAGATTCTTATAAGTTGCAATTGTATATTTGTTGTTTTTTTATAAATTAATGTGTTTTTTTATATTTATTATAAGTCAAAAATCATAATAACTCTGAAAAAGATATTGTTGTAGAGAATTATATCGATAGTAAATAAGAGATAATTTAAATAGCATAATTGGTTAATATTTATCAATTACTTACGTTTTAAGATATAAAAATGGCCGTAAATTTATCAAATATTTGTTAAAAGACTATTTTTTACGATTCAGCTCTTTTTTTTCACTATTTTTTGCGAATTGTTAAAAAAAATTGCAAAAAAAAATGTTCATTCAAAAAATTGAACTTTGATGACTCCTACTGGCGAACCACTACGAGTTACACAAAAAAACACAAAGACAATTTTGAAGAGCGTGAAATTCACTATAAGGTCCATAAAACCGATTCACAATATTGTAAAAAGCGGGCGAGCATTAGAAATTTGAAAAAAAAACATTTTTTTACATGCATTTTAAATGGGAAAACTTTAAATTTAAACTGCAAGTACTTAAAATTGATATTAAGAGCTCTACCTTGGTGAATTTTTTTTTTTCTATAGGTAGATTAATATTTTGCTTGAGCACCGAAAAAAAAAAAGACTTTGCGGATATGAATCACCCTAATGTATATATAATTTATATAAATCAATTATTACTACAATTGCATTAGTAATGTGTAATGTAATGTAATGCTAATTTATCAAAAACAAAAAAATAGTTAAATAGATCAATTTAACAATATTGTTTAAATCCAACTTAACAAATGCAATAATAAAAATTGGATATTGCCATTATATTTTTCCTACAACTATAAAATACCACATTTTATTCTGAAACGCTGAAATAAAGAAAATTTAGATTAGAAGATAAAAGATTTTTGTTAAATATAGAAGACTTCTAATAAATATAGAAGGCCTGGCAACCCTAATAAAATTGTTAACCCCTAATAAAACTGTTAACTTTATATAAATTTTTGGTTATAGCATGTCAACAAGCTAAATATAACTGTAATGTAAACTAAACTGCGCACCACTCAATGCGTCGCGACCAAAAAGTTCGTCCTTTTTCAAAACCACATAACTTTTTTGTTTCATGAACGATTTTATTTTGGTCCGTGATTTCTGCTAGCCCCATCCTCTGGCTATTCTATAGATATGAAGCTCACGGTTCTTCAAGTAAATTTCGTACAGGGTGATATGTAAAACGGTCAAAAATTTAAATAACTTCATCCAAGCCCCGTTTGTAAAAAAATAATTTTTTTCTCGTTTTTACTTTGAAATAATGAAGTATTATGTCTTATGTCTTGAAAAGGTTTTCAATTTTTTCGTATTGGAATCTTAGCAAAGATAATATCATTTTTTTTTTAAGTACATTTAAGGCTTTTTGGTAGGCAACACACTCAGTCTTTTTAAGAACAAGGAGATAAGATGGTGAAAGATTGTTCCTTGAATAATTCTGAACAAGCGACAAGAAACAAACTTCCATTATTTTCAGTGGGGCCTAAGCAAAGACAACTTTTGGTGAAAATTTGCGAAAACCAATCCTGAACCGATATTTACGTTCGTGACATGTTTTCTTTATAATTTTGACCTCCTGCTTGTGATTCAGTTGTCAAATTTAAGTTTCAGATAAAACCAAAATCACTAAGAATCAAAATTCGAAAACAATTCCCTGCTGTTAAATTGCCTACAAAAAAGCCTTAAATGTACTCTTTTAGAAAAAAAAATCATATTTTCGTTGCTACGATTCCAATTCGAAAAACTTGAAAAACGTTTCAAGGTAAGACTAATACTTCATTATTTCAAAGTAAAAACGAGAAAAAAATTATTTTTTTACAAACGGGGCTTGGATGAAGTTATTGAAAATTTTCACCGTTTAACATATCACCCTGTAGGAAATTTACTTGAAGAACCTTGACCTTCATATCTATATCATGAATTGCCAGAGGATGGGGCTAGGAGACATCACAGACCAAAATAAAATCGTCCAAGAAACAAAAAAGTTATGTCGTTTTGAAAAAGAACTAACTTTTTGGTCGCGACACATTGAGTGGTGCGCAGTTTAGATATGCAGGGTGTTTCAAAACATGTGGCGTAAAATAAAGAGTGGGATTCCTTGGCTAATTTTATGAAAAAAAGTTTGTATTGAAATGGTTCCACATTCTAGATGTCAAAAAAAATGATTTTATGTTTATTGACGTTAGCTCAGTAACGGTTAACCGTTTAAGATACAAAACTAAGCTTTTATACATGTATTATCATTAAAATTGGCTACTTTTTAAGCGCCTATTCAAATTTTTTTACGTGCCGTTTGCGTGACATTTTTCGCCCTTATTTCTATGATACTGGGGAAATTAGCATTTTAAAGGCAAATATATAAATATTTAAAAATGCCTATTTCCACACACAAAGGTACTTTTAGTCAAAAGCTCTAACGTGGATCGTTTTAGAGAAAAAAGTAGCAAAGTAGTCATGGAAATTAGGGACAAAAAAACCTAAGGCTCAGCTTATATTAATGATAAGATGTGTAGTACACATTGTGTACAAAAGCTTAGTTTTGTATCTCAAAACGGTTCCTGAGAAATCTTCAGAAAAACAAAAAAAACATTTTTTAATACCCTGTATCTTGGTGCATTAAGCTAATAGGAACCTTTTTTCTTACAAGCAAAGTTTGTTTTATAAATCATCAGAACTTTCTTAATATTTGCAAATTTTATATAAATAAATAGTCTTAAAACATGAAACTCAAAAACCGGCCAAGTGCGAGTCTGGACCCCGCACAAATCGCGGACAAAATTAGGTAAACATTATTTTATACTATTTTATGGTTTATGCGGTAGTAAATTTATGCTAAAATATTAATAATGATAAAATGTTTTAATTATGTACAAAACTTATACATACCTAATTTGGAAGAGTTCGGTTTTGTCGATCTTCCATTCTTCAAAAATATAAATTAATAAACAAATATTAACTAGACTAAAAATAGAAAATTAAACAAAAAAATTAAAGAATATTCGAGCGAAATCACTTAAATCATTTTTTTCGGTAAATCTTTAGCTTTATTTCTATCGACTACTAAAGTGACTTGGCCCAAAAAACCCTATATCGATGTTAAAATTACATTTAAAAGTTGATTTTAGAGCAAAACCGGTTATATCCACGTTTTTTACCTAACCTACTAGGAGGATTTACTAATAAATACGTTTTTACCTTGTAAAATAATTTCTGCTAATTAATGTAACTTTTTTTTGTTTCATTTTATTTTTGCACTAAGAATATGTGTAGGCAGGGCCGGCCCGACGTTTTTCGGGCGAAGATATTTTTACCGCCCCCTTTTTATTCAGCAGGAATAGGAAAAAAAGTAGTTTAACGTAATCATTTTTTTTAATTTTTTACAAGAGTTTTATGCTTTAGAATTACTAGGTAAGGTAATATACTGTTAAATATATATACATAATTGCATATCATATATCGCCGACGGTGGACTAGTGGTTAGTGCTGCCGGAGGTCGTGGGTTCGAATCCCACCAGGGGTATGGCTGTTTATTTGTGTTTGTCCTATTGTGTAATAGTCCTTCGGAGGGAACTTTAAGCCCGCGGTCCGTTCCAACCCCTAACCCGCTCAAGTCATTCAGTTGGCTTCTGGGACTTCTTAGGAAAAGAGCACTTTTGTATATAAACTTTGTATATTATTATATAGGTACTATAAATAGTGTCACTATTATAGTAAGTATAATTAAACAATATTTTTAAATTACAAGAAATCTTTACTTTTGCAATATTCCGCGATATCTCAGATTATTATACAATTTCTGTTAAAATATCGTATTTTTAATGTAAAAGTATACAGACCGAGTGCACCCGAAGATTTTAAGTAGCTTACTTACTTCAGCTGAATCATCTTTAAAAGTAAATTAACTCAATAATTACGTAATGAGTTTAGCGGACTTTGGTAAAACCGAATGCTGCTGTGATGCACATCAGATCATTGATTTTAGACCTCTAAAAACAATGTTTAGATGTACACAACAAAATAAAACCTCATTTTCATATATGCAATATTGTTTAATTATAGTAAGTATAAATATTATACCTGCCCACGATAGTTCTTTTTGCAAGAATTTGGAAAAGGTTGCTGCTAGTACTCGATTTTCCGCCTCACGCGCCCTTCTTTTGTTTTTAAAAAAAGTTCCTGAATGTTTTTTTGCGTTTTTCAGACATTTTATACTTCTAATTCTCAAACTACCTTGGCAATACACTTATTTTACAACGCAAGATCGTGATATAATAATATAATATTTGTCAATTATTAATTGTCAATTGTCAAACACAAGTAGGTATAGAAAACTACAGGATGTGATTGAAAAAACGAATGAAAGAGGGAGCAAGGGCCGTCTTCCGAGAGCGCCTCTATTAAATCTTTGTAACAAAGATATTAAATTATCTAAAATGCATTTTTCGAGCGTAATTCTGGAAAAAATCGCCAATCGAAAAAATTTTAGTATGTTGAATATAATTGATTATAATCATTAATAATTAGTATTGACACATCGTAAAAATGCCGCCCCCCCCATTATGCCGCTCTGGGCCGTTGTTCGGTTCGCCCGTACCTCGGGCCGGCCCTGTGTGTAGGTACTTTTAAAGTTTTATAAAGCGTTAATAATATACAAAAACACGATGCTATTGTATGTGACGACTGACTGTCTTTCGAAACTGATGTTTTAGAATTGGCAAAAGGCAACTATGATAACTTTTTCCTTTACTATATTTAAAATCTATTAGCAATGCCGACTCGGCATTAGCTCCAGCTGCAGGCGGCATTAGCCTGCTAAAAGTTCCAATTAAAAAATCGAAGAAAAAAAATTGTATATATATATTAGGGTGTCCCTTATTTTTATTTTTTTTACGCATACCCTCTAATTATATTTATTACGTGTTTATATACTCCCAGTAAAAATTTCAGCTCATTCTATAAACGGGAACCCGTGCCGACTTGCATCTGAACCCTCCGTTAGCCAACGTTAGGCGCGCGGTATTTTGTAACACGGTTGGTCGCGAGGTCTTCGATCGTAAGTCATTTTGTGTTTGTTATTATGTGACCCTTATATTATAAATTATTGACAAATGTTAAAATATACTTTTATTTATGTGTATACTTTTATAAAAATGTATATTTTCACAGAGAGTGGCTAGTTACCCGGAAGTGAATAGGCCGTAAACTCTGAAATTGTTAAACTTAATGGGTTTTACTCTAAATAACTAAAACTTATTGAACTGTCTGAAATATTTTTGGGAGGACATCAAGAAATTTCATATAACAGTATATTTTAGCAATACTAATTAGTATATTAATATATTTAAGGGATAAAATCAACTAAATTTTTTTTGGTTATTTTTTAATGGTCATTCAGATATAATAAAAAAAAGAATTTTGGGTAATTAGTTTTACGGCCTATTCACGCGACACCGGGTAACTAGCCAATTCCTGTAAAAATATTCATTTTTATTAAAGTACCTATACACATAAATAAAACTATATTTTAACATTTTTTAATAATTTATAATATAAGGGTCACATAATAACAAACACAAAATGACTTACGATCGAAGACCTAGCGGCCAACCGTGTTACAAAATACCGCGCGCCTAACGTTGGCTAATGGAGGGTTCAGATGCAAGTCGGCACGGGTTCCCGTTTATAGAATGAGCTGAAATTTTTACTGGGAGTATATAAACAAGTAATAAATATAATTAGAGGGTATGCGTAAAAAAAATAAAAATAAGGGACACCCTAATATATATATAAATCGGTTAACGGCGTTGACTAAGCGCGTTTCAAAATAAAGAGGTGTTGCGGTCTTAAATCGCACACTCTGTATATCATGGCATATACAACATGAAATAAAAGCCTCTAGATGCAAAAACCGACAGTAACACATTTTTAAAATTGATTTTTATACGCAACTTTATATGTTCTTTAAAGCGCTTTTGATTGCCACATTATTTTCTTGCAAATACTGACAATATCCATGAGATATTTGGTATAGAGGTGGAAAAATGAGAAAAACAAGATAAAAGTTTTGTTTGGCAGAAAAATTAGATTAAAAATTTTACCAAATACGGTATTGGCTATACCTATTTCAAAATCTCAAAAATCAGGGTCCCTAATGTTACCAAAAGGTTTTAAAAAAATTTACCAGATGTAGATGTAGAGCCCCTTAAAAGTCTGTCCCTAAATTTTTTTTTCTAAATATTTCCAAAAAAGAGTGAAATTTGGTATAGATACATAACATTTTATGCCAAACATACTGTAAATAAAATAAGGTTGAAATTTTGGCCAGGGGTGTGGACTTGGAAAAATGTATCCAATTTTTTGTAATGCCTTTTTGGTATTTATAATCAACATGTTTAAATAATAAAGTTTTTTACGTAAAAAAGGACGCCTTGTCGCAACTATGACGCACAGTTTTCTATTAAAATGGATTTAACGTTGCCCAGATCTAGCAAAGTGGAAAAAACTTTTTTTCGATTTTAAACACCTTATTTTTCTAAAATAAAGTTTATATGAACTTTTTTCCTTAAAATCATCCGGTCCGCAATCGATTTATTAGGATGTTCAAAATTGAAAAAAAAAATCGTTTTTTCTTATATTTTTTTCAAATATTTGTCCTACATCTACTAGTCTACATATTTTTAACAAATAAAAAGACACGCCACTAGTTTATATAAAATTATCGAATTATTTGAAAAGAAAGCCTAGTAACTTTTTTGTTCGATAAATGGTTTTTAAACAAAAACATAAAAAACATTTATTTGCCTGTCACTACTCTTGAATCTGGCCTAATGCCAGAATATTGTCTTTAATAATTTAAAATAACATTTAATTCCAGATAATTATATTTATTTACTTGATGTGGAAGAGCAGTGAACTACCTAGTGTAGGGTACTGAACTTCGCCTTTTGTTTGTAATAAGTTTTTTGCAATCAATAAAGACATTATTATTATTATTATTAATATTATATAATTAATAAAATTAGAACTAAAGTGAAATTACATACGTCATCATTTCTTAAAAAAACTGAACAAAATAAGAAATAAATTATATTAGTTGTCGAAAATGTCTACCACCTTTTAGTACGCATGCCTTTGACCTACATACTGTTTGAAGAATTCCTGGAAGTATTTCTAATATTTTGAAGAAAACTTTTCTTGATTATAAATTAGGGTGTTCTAAAGCCTCAAGGTGTCCCCATAGGAAAAAATATGTTATTTCAGAAACATTAGCTTGTGAATTATTTGGTGCTAACAGAATTTTATAAAATAAATAAACCAACACCCTACATTTTTCAGTGAAAAAAGTGAAGCAGCTGCAGAAGCAGAAAAAGTGGATAAAGATGGCAAAAAGAAAGTTTGGCAAGACAAAAAGGAAAAATGGTCTCATGATAAGTTTAATAACGACGATCAGGCACCCAAATCTCGTTCTGAACTGATAGCAATTTATGGATATGATATTAGGAATGAAGAAGGTGCTCCTAGAGCTAGAAGGCGCAGAAGATATGGGTAAGTGCAAAAAATTATTTGATTGTTTCGACCTTTACTTGATGAAACTCCATATTATTATTATTATGTAGATATAAAAACAAATATGTTTTGAAAGTTTCACGTGTTTTATTTACTTTTGACAATTGTTTCGTCACACATTCTGAAGAAGTCACTGTGTGACGAAACAATTGTCAAAAGTAAATAAAACACGTGAAACTTTCAAAACATATTTGTTTTTATATCTACATAATAATAATGCAAAGAATTAGTTTTTAGTTTTTTTTTTTAATTTAAAATTGTAGCCGTGGTCCAAACAAATATACCAGAAACTGGGAAGATGAGGATGCTTATAATAAACCAGCTCCACCAAGGTTACCAATCACCAAAAAACCTATTAGGCCTAGGAAAAGTTCAGAAGAATTCCCTCCATTGGGTGGAAACCCTAGAAACAATAATAATAGGAATAGTGAGAGCGCTGAACGGGAAAGTGTAGAAGAAGATAGAGGACATACACCGGAAAAGTTAGAAAATTATTTTTTTTGTTATTTACAGATTTTCAATTTTTTTTAATTTACAGAGTGTCTGAAAGTAACGGAAACTCCAATACACCTGTTCAGCAAAATACGTTGGACTATAGCAGATCAACTAGCAGCCAAGAATCACATAAAAATAACCCGCGAGTTGGCTCTGGAAGAGTAATAAAACCCAAAAAAGAGATACAGGATTCAGACTATAAGGGATTCACTACCAGAACTCGACAAGTCAGAAACGTTAAGGTCGATCAGGCGGAACCTGCAAGAAATCAAAAGAAAGATGAGTACATTCACTCCCAAAACTTTACAAACAAAAATAGCAGCAGTGTCCAGGCCTTGGAAAAAGATATGGATAAATTAAATGTCCAAGACGGTATCTATAGAGGCGGCAAGCAACAAAACAACCAGCGACAGGGAAGCGTGCCACCGCGTCTGCAATCAGAACAAAAAGGGGGCTCTAAACGCTACAGTTCAATGAGACAAAGATCTTTGCCAGAATGCGCTACTCCACCGAATTATCCCACAACGTTTTATCCTAATGGTAAGAGAAATAGTTTTTAAGAATATTTGTTTGTTAGCTACATATTTACTTAAAGTTGCTGATAACAGAAAGTTGCTTCATATCAGACAAATTAAGAAGAAATTATGAAACATTAAATAAATATTTTATTAATTTTAGTAAAAAGCAAATACAATACATTTTAAATGTAAAATCTTTGAGGTACTCTTAACATAAATATAAAAACCAAAAAAAAAAAATATAACAAAATGATTAACATATTTTTTTTAAACCATTATTTTGTTATATTATCATTAAATAGTTTATCATGTCTGAATACACTTATATTTAGTTAGGTTTGTACAAACTTTGTAGCAAGATTGATTATTTGCTTTTTATTTTATAATTTTAGAAGAAAGCATAGGTACTTATTTAACTCACTTAAAAGAAGCTAAAACCTAAAAATATCAAGAAATAAAATACCGCAAAACCTTCAAGATGTGTAATTGGGATAATATTTAGTTTATTGATAACCTAAAATTTTTGACGGTGCAAAATTTGAAAAATTAAAAAATGTAGTGGTAAAAAACTTAAAAAAAAAATATCAGCTTGCCTGTAGCAAGCTGGGCTAACAGTCCTTACATTATCTTATTCCAGTAATTCCATAACTAAAATTAATAAAGCTTCATTATCTTTATTTAGTATTCAGTAAAATTCTGTTTACTCAAAAATATTTCTTATTCACTTTATTCATTCATTAATTAATTTACAATTAAATTACTTTTAATGATGCATACTGAATTGAGCATGTTTTTCCGAACTCTAATTTTGTCGATAAATCGGACCTGCTTAAACCGATTTGTATGGTGATTGTCGGGCATTGTACTATGCTACCGTGCTAAGGCTAAACAACTATCTGCAATATTTTAAATAAAATACAATACAAATTAACTTTTCTGCTTACTAAATATTATATTTAGTAAGGAGGAAAGTTAATTTGTATTGTTTTTAACAATAAAAATGATCTTTTGTTATTTATTACTTAATATTGTACATACTTAGCAGGGCAGTGTGGTCACACGCAAAAGTCCCACCATGTGACTGATACAAAGTTTTTTGATCAGTGTCAAGCAAATTTCGTCTTATTTTCTGAAAATAATTTAATATATGTATTTTCTGTGTATAAAGGTCTTAATTTAGAACACAAACAATACATATATTGTATTATTTTACAGAAAATAGGACGAAATTAGCTAGACTGGATAGTAAAACTAGGAAGTCGACTACAATTTCATAAATCCGCGTATCTCGCGAGAAAAACGCGCAAAGATTTTTTGTTACAAAAAAAGTAACATTTTTGGTTGTAGCTTCTTTGTTTTTATGTAAACAAAAAAGTTGGAACCAAAAATGCTACTTTTTTGCCACATAAAATCTTTGCGCGAGTTTTTATCGGGAGATCCACGGATTTATGACTTTTACTACGAAGATTAGTCAATAGAACATAAGGTATATGGATGAATTTTCATTTACTTACCTGTCTATTACAGTTTATACCTCCTTCTAATCATCAGAAAACTACTACTACTACTCTTAGAAGAAAAAACAACAGGAAGGAGTCTTGTCATTCTTTAGCCGTACTAAAATTGCGTCGGAAGTCGGCCATTTGCAAGCACCAAATTTTGACACATATGTGTCAAAATTTGTGATGCTATATTTGTCAAAGTTGAATGTTTTATGTGTTTTTCGGTGTTTTATGTTGTTTTTCTGCTTAAATTAACTTTTAATAAGCGTTTCATTGTTTCTAGACAGTATTTTATTTGATATATTCTCGTTTAAGTGTAAATATTTAAAGTTTAAGATATAAATATTAGTGTTTAAGGTGTAAAGACAAATTATGGTTAGTTGTGCAGCTTGTGGTTGCTCCTTGAGCACAAAAAATAAAAAATATTCAATTACATTTCATAGGTGAGTATTTTGGTTAACGTTCAATTTATTTACTTATTGTATATTTTAAAATAATTAATTGTAAATATTAAACATAAATCAATGTCAAATAACGTAACCTTAGAACATAACCATAACCTAAGAACGTCACCATCATAGAAAAAACCATAGGCGTATCATATTTTCTGATACTAACCTAATTATTATAAAAATTAAACTTCAATTGTATTTACTACGCCACTGTCAAACGGAAACAACTATCCGCCATATTGAAGCACCACTTTGGACCCAAGGTCATTTATTAAATGCTCCTTCCTGTTGTTTTTTCTTCTAAGCTACTACTACTAGCTAAAATGGCTATAATAGAGTTTTACAAATAGTAAAGGGACAACTTATTCGTTTATTTACCTTAAACAAAGCTTTCAAAATAAAATTTAAACAAGTTTTATTTTTTAGAAGTAAAAAGGTTTTTGGATTTTCTGAAGAAGAAAACCTTTTTACTTCTGAAGAAAATGACCGCAATAGCCTTAGAGATAAAAGTTTTCTTCTATTCATTTAGTTTTACGGTAATCTTTATCAAAAAATATGCACAAAATGATATTTAAATGCTTTAAATTAAATAATTATTTGGAATCAATTAAGTCAATCTATTTTGTGTAACACACAGCAAATATTATTTTCCTTAATCCGTAAACAAAATATGTTATCTTAAAGTAATTAGGGACGGAATTATATAAGTTTTCTTCTATTCATTTAGTTTTACGGTAATTTCACCAAAAAAATATGCACAAATAGTAGATTATGTCATAAGGAGTAGAAGTGGCTCTTTTTGTGGTGAGTACAGAGATTGACGGCCGAAGCGTAGCTGAGGCAGGCAACTGTACGAAGCACAAAAAGAGCTTCTACTCCAAATAACATATACAATTTTTTTTTCAAGGGCGTAATATAAATAGGATAAGTAATAGAATTATTTTATTTACTTATAACTCATGTGGTATAAAATTTTGGCTAAAAGCATTACAAATTATTGATAATAACTAAAAAAACTTATAACCCTTACTTACAATGCCGATAAATATCCTAAACTAAAAATAAACACTGCTCTGTCAAAATGCTGCGCTTGAATTAATTTTGACGTACTGACATTTGTTTGGAGTTCCGACATTGGCGACTCGTCTATCATCATAATATTATACTAATAAACTAGTTCTTTATTTCGTTCAATTAAAATTTAATAAATAATCACTAAATATTCCGTGCGATTATAATTAATATAATTAATACATCGTGATTGCTTTGTATGAAATGCTAAATTAATTTTATTATTTGACGTCTATTGAGTCACCTATGGATTTACTTCTATCCCTAGGCTTTTTTGAGTTTTTTAGACTTGTGTAAAGTGTCCTGTATACTCCTAACACTAATAAAGTTTATTATTATTATTATTATCTGCCGCTAATGAAAAAGACGTACTTCAACTATCTCTATACATGCATATAAGGTTGTATATCATGGCAGCTTGAAAAAAAAATGATATTTAAATGCTTTTGGGATGAAGCAAATTTTCGTTATATTTAAAATATTTTTCGGTAGGGTACCTAGTTACTAAATGCCATATTGTTTTTTTGCTTTTCCCCTTACTGCAGCACTTCTCCCATTAGGCAATTAAATTACGCATGTTTTTTTATTTGTTTGTGCTAAACCATGCCTGCAAAAAAGCTGACTATCGTGGAACATTTAAATACGACGGAAATGTATTATATTTTCGAATTTGTTTATTGTTTAATGTTGCATATTTTGGAAATAATTCGGGCTCTAATAATAATAATAAATTATTAGTAATAATACAGTTCGCAATGGTACAGGAAAGGTCTATTTTACGGACAACAATTTAAAATATTTTAGTATTTTTTCTTAAAGAAAGAAAAAATCCATTTTTTGGCGCCCTTCTCAAATGTAGTATTGCTTTTCTCAGTACTTTTGTATTATAATAAATATAAATCCCAATTAGATGGCTACCAACAATCGTCTCGTCAAGGCGGCCAAGCACAAATCATCCACAACCCAGGCCAAATCCACCCGGCCACCACTCAAGTCCCGCCCATGCAGCAGCCCGCACTCACCATGGCGCAACAGGTGCCCGTCACCGCCGCCCCCCTCCTTCAACCCCAATTCCCGTCGCCCTTCCCGCCCGCGCCCCCTCCGTTCTTGCCGGCAGGCGTGGCGCCGCCCCAATTCATCCCTCAACAGACGCCGCAGATCATCAACTACGTCCAGGGCCAGCCGGGATATCCGCCCCCGAACTTCCAGGGCTACCAACAACAGTTCACCCCTGTAGTTAATGTAAGTACAACAGTTTTTTAGTTTGGTTTGGTTGGTGTCTGTAAATATTTGTATGTATGTGGTAGCATAATAGATCATTAAAAATGTGGATTTATTCATCAATTCTTATAATTATATGTATAGGTTCGAAAACTTAAAATTAATAATTTATTTTAAATGGGCTAGATAATAAGATATTTAAGATTTTAGTTATAATTATTAAGGATTTGTTTATGAAAGTTATACATCTAAATTACAAATTACTAATTGCCTTTATAAATATTTATTTATTTAATAAGTAGATTAAGGATATTAACTTACTGGGTTTTAATTGGGTAGTAGATTAATTCCGAAATTTACATAATAATACATATTTTAGTGTTTTAAAAATTTAAAAGTATTTTTTCAAGCTGTGTTGATTCTGTATAGAATTACACATACAATTGTTACATATCGGCAAATAAAAAAAATATATTTTTTACATGCATTTTAAACGGTAAAACTTTAAATTTTAATAGTAAGTGCTTAAAATTTATATTAAGAGCTCAAACTTGGTGAGAATGTTTTTTCCTATATGCAGATTAATATTTTGCTTGAGCACCGAAAAAAACCAAAAACTTTGCGGAAATGAATCACCCTAATATACATATATTTAATATATATATTTTATGTTTTTAATTTTGTTTATTGCACATGTTTTTTAAATTATGACTGGCACACTTTATTTTAATTCCTAATAATGTGTTTTTATTATTTTTCATCATAATTGTTTTTTAATATGTAATATACTAATAATAATATGTAAGTAGTACTAATTGCACAAATAGTTGTTTGTTTATGGTTGATAGGTTGGTATTGTTTAGTAAAAACAAGCCATGGTAGAACTTAACGTCTAAGGAAATGCGATAGCTTAAAATATCCTTAGCCTGTGCTGGGCTTTAAAGTAGGGGATATTTTTTTATAATAAGGGGTCCTACAGATGTTTTTGTTGTAATTCACCCATTGTTACAAACCTCAAACGCGAACTTAACCCGGTGAAACAAAAGGCGTTATAAATAGCTATACTTCATAAATTGAATAAATCCTAAAAATATATTTTATTTAAATTAGTAATATTAAAATTTCAACGCAAACTTTAGTCCAGGGTCACAATTAGTCACAAAAGTTAAAACCCCCACCCCTAAAAGTGTGAGGTTGTTTGTAGTCGACTCCTTATTACTTTCAGTTTTCCTACACAGCATAACCTGTGTTTAATGAATCCGAATTTTTACCCCGGCTGGTAATTCTCCCCTAGGAGATCGTGGATGACAGTGTTGATGGTTAAGGCCACTTCCGGAATTTTGTCGCCGGGCCCGATTTAGGCTAGTGGATTGCGGGACAAAGAGGGAAAATATTTTGGTTTTTGAAGGACATTAAACTGACCCAAAACTAAGTAAAACCCGGAGTCCCCCTCAACCAGGGATTTAGTAATAACCCCATTCAATTGGGGTTCATGAATGGGGCTTGGGTAGTTAGTACGCTACTTGGACTTATCCTTAGTGGTCTTGTAGTCCCTCCTGTTTGTCTGTGTCCGTGTCTCTGTCCGAGTCGGATTCCGGAAGTTGGTACAATGCCTCATTTTCCGCATAAGGTTTTTGTGGGTGCCTATGTGTTTCTATCCGTCGCAATCGATTTGTAAGAAGGGCATCGTCTTTGCGAGGGTGTCGTGAAACGTCTAACCCGGTGTTTAGTTACAGCCACATTCAATTGGGGTTCATGAATGGGACTTGGTTGGTTAATATGGTGGGTGGACCATCGTGTTTCTTGTGTTACTTCTTGTCCGTCTGCGCCCGTGTCACTGCTTTAATTATGCTGAAATGTCGGTAACCGCTTTAGAATTGTTTGCCTCCCTGTGAAATACTAAATCTTGTCTTCAGTACCGAAGTATTGCCGTTAGCAGTGCCCCTCTGCCTTCGTGGAAATTCAACCTCTCATGCCAAGTACCGACTTCACAATATGCAGCCGTTTAGGCAGTCGTTATTTTACTAGCTGAAATTGGTAACAGACATACACGGACTATTTTAACCCACTGTGCGGATTCCTTAGTTGTCGTTAGTTGCCCTTTATATGGCTGTATTGACTTTTCTGTGTTTAGGTTACTTCTTAATTGCATGCTCGTTCAATATATTTTAAGAGACAGTTGTTTATTTTAGTTTCGTTAAGTTTTAAACATTTTAATTTTATTGGGGCTGGCCTCTTAAGTTTATGCTTATATTATTATATATATATTATAATGTTCTTACTTAATTGTTGATTTATTTAGACTTACGCTGTTTTCAGTAATAATGATTGAATATTGAACGGTTTTTGCTTGTTAGGTCATGCAGTTAATTAGTACTTATCAGATTTTGAAGCTGATGGCCCCTTCTACTCTTGGTTAGATTCGTTTGTTCTTTGCATAAGGTCGTATATATTGGCCTGTGGTCCGCCAGGTATGCTCAATTACTTTCGGATCTGTTTGGTCATTATTCACTGTATTAACTTGTTGAGATATTGCTTTTGAATGCACTAATTTAATGTTTCTTTTAAGACTATGGAGAACAGGTACACTGATTGGAACACAGGAAATAAATCTTTGCACCAATTTCGCACAGTATTTTCCCTGAACTACACTGTTATTTTTTTATGTTTCTTTAAGACATTTATTATGATTAAGTACACTTAAGAGCGTTCGAGCTATAAGACTTGTAGAATGTATCTTTTGGGGTAAAAATAAACGAAATGATTTAAAAAAATAATCTTTTGAGGTGCCCATGTTGCTGCAGCAACCAATTTTTTGATATCATAAGTCAAAAAAAAGAAAAGTAGATTTTCACCCAAATACATATATTTACAGCTTTACTTAATTTTAAGTGCACGTTTTTACCAAATTTCTTTTACAGGTTTGGATGCAATTAAGAGACAAACGTTCCCATTTGCTCAAAAGCAATCAATCAGTAGACTAAGAATTAAGAATTTTTTTAATCAAGAATTTTATTTGTGTTCAGTAATAACATTAAAAGAATAAACATTGATTTAACCTTTGGTTTGTAAATTTTATTTGAATAAATTTTTTTATGGGAAATATTTATATTTTTCTGATGTAATTTTTAGACCCCACCAACCGAATTATATCAACCCCAAGGAGGAATAACATACTATTCAGCCGATCAACAGATTGCTCAAAGGCCTGTGCCCCAAAAACGTCCCAAAGCTGCTATTCCGATTGTCGCTCCCCCCGAAAACGACACCAAACTGAGATCTAAAAAAGATGACGAAAATATTTACGAGACTAATGAAAATGTAGAAACTATAAACTATGAAGAAGCTTTAGTTGAACAGTAATCATACTAATTAAGGTTTTAACAAACACAGGTTGTCTTAAATGATACGGTGCCTCCTTAAATATCAACTTAAAACATTTTTCTAATATTATTTTTATTGTAGAACGCTAAATTGTAACGATTAATTATTTATTACATCAAATAATTTGATAATAGTATTTATTGTGCTTAGATTTAAATTAATTTTTTTATACATTTTTGACAACATGGGTTATGTTTTATATATTATATTTATATATATATATATATATATATTTATATATAAACTAATATTTATATATAAATTATTTATCTACATATGTTAGATATAGAATAGATGGATATTTATCTAAAATAATTAATGTTTCTCAAAATTAATTTTGTTTAATTTTTGATATTTTTTAAATTGCAATTGCATGGACCCTATATTATTTTTTAGTTATAACTAAGTGAAACATCAAGAAAATGGTTTTTGTTTGTCATATTTTTGTAGTTTACTTATATTTTTTTCTTGAAACTATCTGTTTTAATAAATTCTTATTATAATCAGTATAATTCTTTTTATTTACCTTTAATTTATATATAACTGTACCCCAGTGCCAGACTGTATTAAGTCCACTTTTTTAAAATCACATTACATATTTTTTGCCTAATTTTTTTGCATTTTTCAATGATAAACAGGATTAAGTCCTGGTTATATTAGTTTTTGAGTAATCGCACTACTGCGGTAATATATTACTAGGGGGATTCCGCGTCGTACTTAGTTTTAAGTCGGCGTAATTGTCCACCAAAAACCAACAAACGTCTATCCCTCCCGTCCCTCCTCTATACCCTACTGGGCGTATAGCATCGGCTCGGCGAATCCGAGAATGGCTATTAAAACTATTCGCATGTCGCTCTCGAGCCCCAAATAGGGGACAGTACGGAACGCAATGGACATTCGCACCCAGCAAACACGGGTGAAGCCGTGCAGTTGCTGGGGGCGAACAAAAATCGGCGTAAGTAAACAGGCCTGTACGAGGTCCGGGAGTGATGAGGCAATGGGGCTGGTTATACTCATACTCATATTTTTTTTTTCATTTTATTAGAGATGAGCGTTTAAGAGTAAAAAAACGTAATTTCATTTTTTCAAAAATTCAATCGAATGAAACAAAAAAACGGCTAATTAATTCCAATTGGATCGAAATAAAACTAATATTGAACTATAAAAGGCACACTTAACATTAGTCGTTTTTGAAGTAATCTCCATTCCGCGTGTGATTTTCCCAAAAACCTCCAAATCCCATTTTTTCACGATTTTTCAAAATCATGTTACGAATGGAAAAAAATTGTTTTGAAAAAAACATTAGCCAAACCTTCATTCATTGGAGTTTCTAAAACCGACCTCCAATTTATTATGCGACTATTTTATTCTGAGATATCGATGATAAAAAAAAATTATCCATTTTCATTCAAAGCCCGATAGCTCAGCCAGAAATGGTTGTATCAAGGCCTACAAAAAAACAACTTAAAGCTGGATAAACAACCTATCCGATCCATATGGTGGTTTAGTTAAAAAAAATAATGCAAGCTAGTCCGTACGCAGAAAATAAAATACAAAAAAATAAAAAAAAATTCTTCACGATATTGATTAGGATTGCGCGATACTTGTTTCTTGGAAAAATTGTTCGTCTTAAGGTCCAAAAACACGGGAGTGCGGATTTATTTTAAGATCTAAGAAAGCCGCACTACTATTTAAAAACTCATTATAAACATACCTACAAAAAATTGTAGGCAAATAAATCATGTAGTGGCAATTTTTGTTTGATTTTTTTAATGGCCGCAGAAAAAATAAAGGCTTAAAAAAAAGGCTGTCCCTTAAACGGCCGCCCCAGGCGGTTGCCCGAGTGCTTAAGACGGCCCTGACTATAGTAGTAGCTATAGCTATAGCTAACAATAACGAATCATGTTAGTGAATATATATATGGCCTAATTATAATTAGGTATTGTATCTTTAGCAATTGCTATTTACAGAATCAGACAAGGAAAACCAAATTATTCCGTGTCCACCACTGTACACAATTTTATCAATTACAAACTAAACCCGCCCGCCCAACCTAACCCTTAGACTATTGTCTATGATTACAAAAACGGAATTAATTTTAAAATACATTTATATTAAAAAATATATAATAATAAATTATGATTAATAATAAATCTTACTAATATAAGTAAATCTCCAGTGGATATTCTCCAGTGGAGAATCTCCACACAGAATTAATTTTAAATTGGGGAAAAATATTTAGGGAATTTTGTTTCGACACTGGTTCCTTTTGGTGACAGTTCTTCCATGTGGTTGATTGTTTTGGTTTTGTGACAGATAAATACGCGAAAACTCCAACTAAATACAGGTTATTTATATTAACAGCTAAAAACAAACATTTAAAATGGTAAATGAACATATTTTTAATCCTCGAACCCTTTGTATTTTGTGAATTGTGGTATTTGAGGTTAACTTTTACTTTTTTAGCCTAAACGTTTCATAGACAAAAAGAAGGCAGTTACTTTTCAGTTGGTACACAGAAGTCAGCAAGATCCTCTTGTGGCCGACGAAAATGCACCACAACGTGTTTTATTGCCCATGGAAGGCAAGGAAGCAATCTCCGATAAACAGGAAAGGTTGGAGGAACAAGCAAAGTATGGCATATTTTATGACGACGATTTCAATTATTTGGAACATTTAAAAGACCCTGAAGATAACAAAGTTTCATGGCCTGATCATGTAGAAGAAGAATTAAAGGAAAAAAGGGAAAAAATCAAGTTACAGTTGCCCTCATCCGTGTTTGCTTCCGAAGTTGAGGAAAAAGTGGGAATGTTAAATAAAGCAGCCCCAGTTTCAGGTACCTAAAAACACTAATTTAGAGGATATTCAATTTATTACCTTATTCAATATAGGTAGTTCTTTCCTTAGTTTTTTGACAAATTTATATTTTATTAAAATAGGTAAACTATTTATAACAATTTATTTATAAATATAAATTTTAAAAATAACATTAATAATTTAAAGATTATGCCAACACTTTAATAATTTAAAATTATTTTGTTTATTTCACTCTTCAAAATTTAATCTTCAACGCCGCTGGTAGGCAGTATACAAGGAGGGTATGAATTACTGTGGATAAAGAACTCAGATACCGTTACGGTTAAAAATACTGCAAAAGTAAAAATGATATCATAATGATAAAAAAAATCTAAAGTTAAACAAGTATCAAGGGCCTACATGCGTCGAGCTTTGCCAACTTACCTATCGGTACGCACCGTACCATATCGGTACGAAACAAATAAATACCATCCGGGACGGGACACTTTATTTTTCGGCTTTCCAAAAACTGGAACCTGTCCTGACCAATCTGTTACGATTGGTCACCTTGCTATAAATGCATATTTTAACATTGACGTATGATTTGACCCTTTTTATATTTTACGTGCATATTTTTGGATAAACATGTATATTAAAGAAATTAAAATGTTTTATATTTGAGTGGTGTAGAATCAAAAGCAGCCACCCTCAACCCGCACAAGCCATTCAGTTGGGTTCTGGGACTTAAAAAGTAAGGTGAAACTAATAAATAAAAGAATACTAATATTTCCATATCTAATAGACATTGTCTATTTATAATGGAAACTTTAAAATTTGTTAAACAAAATTTAAATAGATTTTCTTGCCTAACCGCAAACCATAATTATAACACTAGGCACGGTAATACTCTATGTTACCCTAAGCACTACTTAACCTTACATGAAAAAAAGTCCTTTTTACGTCGGAGCTACCCCTTTATAATAATTTTCCAACTTGAATCAGAGAACATGTCCGCTTTTAATTCTACACGACTGATTTATATTTCAGCATATATGAACGGACTTTTTTTATGCTGCATATTTTAATGATTTTTAGTTCATATTTATGGTAGAATTATGCACCACAAATTAACATTAAGTTATTATTAACATTAACATTAAAAATTTAAGATGAATTTAATACAATGGAAGCATTATGTTAATTAACATTAAAAATTTAAGATGAATTTAATACAATGGAAGCATTTATGTTAAATTAATCTTAAACTTAATCTTAATGTTAATGTTAGCTTTGGGCGTAGTTCTGCAGAAAGCAATCAAATTATAAAAATCAAGATATTTTGTATAGTAGCAGAAAATAAGCTTTATCTTCAAAACATATTCTAACCAATAGTTCTTAAAATCACCATAATAAAATATAACTAAATTATATGATTATAAGGTCCCACCGAACCTGATTTTTTAGTCTCGGCCGAGACCGAGAACAAAATAAATTCTCGGCAAAGATCCGGACATGAGAAGTATAAAGAAAATCGGGAAAATATACAAAGATGTACAATTACAATGTAGTTAAAAAAATCGTTTATTACTAAGTAACTCAAATTTATCATTGACATGACAATGACAATTATATTGCCTATTTAAAATAACGTACTTACAGGCAATGTGAGATCCATCCCTTTCACAAATCTGCTCAATAGATTTAATGCATGCCATGTTCACATTCTAAACTCGGAAGAGATTAACATTTAAAATTACTGACCAATCTCGGCCTTTCTTTGCCGGGATCTCAACTAAAAATTTAACCTGAACTATCACAAAACAATTCTTTGGTGGGTTGGTAGCTTTCTGCATAACTGGATACATTTAAAAAGTAGCTCCACTGTTTTTTTAAGACTAAGAGTCTTTACCTCTAGGAAGTTGGCCCAAAAAAGTTTTCATAAAAATGACATTCCTTTATACAAATAATATTGCTTCCCCATTTTCGCAATAAAAAATAGGGCACATTAATTTTGCCCATTCCCGGAATAACATGGAAAATGGAAAATATCAAAATATTTACCTAATTTAATATGATCCCAATTTTTGAGCAAATTTATAGCTTAAAATTTTTGTTCTTTTGTATAAGGGTATAATTTCACTATCTATATCCTAAACTGGTCAAAAAGTAACAAAAATTATTATCTCCTGTATTTTATAAAATTCCTGTACTATTGCCTAAAGGCAGTAAAGTTACTGAGAAAGAAAGGTTCCATTTTCGAAGTAAATTATTTGGTACACTTGAATACTAATTTTGAATAAAAACTCCTAGAAGTAAAACTATTTAAAAAAATGACAAAAATTTAATATCCTTAATTTTTTCAACACAGTTTAATAATATTGATAAATAAATGCATTTTTAACATTTTATTTGCTTAGGTCCTCAATTACACTTGGATCCTGATGTGGTAGCCGCCATGGATGAAGATTTCGATTATTCCGACCCTGAAAATGAACTGGAAGATAACTTTATAGAATTAGCACATGGCTTAGCTTCAGATCAAGAATGTGAGGGCGATGAAGATTATGAATTAGGTTCTGATTTTGATGATGAAGAAATGGATGAAGTTGGTTCATTACCTGGATCACAGAGATCATTTGATGATGAAGAAACCAAATCCAGATTTACAAGTTATTCAATGACAAGTTCAGTTATTAGAAGAAACGAGCAGCTCACTTTGTTGGATGGCCGATTTGAAAAGGTAAAAATAAGTTAAATAAATATAGGCTGATAATATTTTTAAGGAATAAATAATACAACAATTATACAGTTGGTTTCTGTTTTAAAATAATAATTACGGTGGGTCGATTTTACTATTTTTCGGCAGAAAAAATATAATAGGAGTTTTTTACTTAATTTCAATCTTTTGAACTGCCGCAAGGTCCTTGCAAATTTGTATTGTAATCATGTTTGGAATTTTTTTATTGTAATTACTTAATTTAATTTTTACTGTATTGTGTATCATTAAAATACGTACAAAATTGTTTAGAAGAATTATAATTATAATTATTTATAGAAAGAAACGAAAATACTTATCAATTAGTAACACAAATTTACTTCAATTTATAGATCTGTTTTAATGCATATTTTTCCGTGTTCTTATTTTGCCTTTATTACGCCGCGTCGTCTTGAGCAGGACAGCTGAAGCAACTGCATGCGGGACACTTCTATCTGAAATATAGAATAGAAATAGAATAGAATGATAAAGTGTTCTTGCAAGAACGGGAGTTGTAGAGGGAATACGATTAGAGAAATTCATGTACGTCATAAAGCGCAGACATCAAAATTGCCTTGTCCATTATTGAAATAGCACATTGCAGGCAGTTAATAAATTTGTTTGAGGAGCGCCTGTTAGTGTAAACCATAGGTAGTAGCGGCAGCACTTTGAAACTTTAACATAAGCAATATAGGTAGAATTATTAAAAAAGTATGTTTCCACTCCCACCTTTAAAACACCCATTATCCTACATGTTTCCATGACACTAAGTGACCTTTTAAATACACATTGACAAGTGTGGCTTTAGTAACCTGCTAATAGTATATTATGTATCAAGTTTGATAAACGCCATTTTATACACGAATTTAATTTAGGCACGAGCGAGCTTGCGAGCGAGTTCTTAAATTAATGAGTGTATAGAAAAGTTTATAAACGAGGTGCATACTATACTTTTTCTACGACAAATACTTATTATTATCTTAAAATGATTTAAATCAAATATTTTTATAGAGCGCCATCTATGAAACAATAGGGGAATCTGTGTGTAACCGTCAAATGTCAATTTTTTTATTTTATAAACACAGATTATAAAGGTTATAAATCGAAAAGTATTGGAGCCCTAAAGGGTAAATGTTAATTCCTCTTAAAATTTCAAAACGAGTTTTCCCTTGCTGGAGTTATTTGATTATTTAAGGCCGCCAATGAAAGCGCAGTGTTTCTACTCAGCGCTTGCGACAACAAAAACCAAATTTGTTTTTGTTTACTTTTTCCCAACGATAGAATATCAACGTCTTTTGCGAACACAAAAAATATAACAAAAACACCAATGAGAGCGCAGAAGTTCTGCCCTGTCGGACGTCTTTAAAAATAAAATAACTGCAATTTTACAAATTTGAAAACAATGGAAATTTTGTCTTCGATTTTCGCGTTTGGTGATTCTGGGGCACCCTGTATTATATTAGTTTTTGCTAAATGTTTTAACTTAACGGTAGTATTATAAATTATAGGATATTTATAGATTTATTTTACTATAATTAACTTAAACAAATAAAAAACATATTGACAGCTTATTTTTATACTTTATTGCCTAATTTTTAAATGTTGTTTGTAGTACACAATGTAAAAAATGCTAATTTAAATAACTTTAATTTTACTTAAATAAATTACATGTAATAAACAATTGTTTGAATAATTATGTAGAGTCTGAATTTGATAAAAAAAACTTAAAAACAGTCGTAATTTCTATTTTTATTTATAATGTATTATTTAAATTTAATAGGAAATAAATAAAATATTTATAATAAAATATAATTATAAATATTTCAATAATGCCACATCTTACAAAGGTTTTTTTTAAATTGGATGTTATAAAGGGTGGGCCATCTATAAGTTGAGTTTTAAACTACGTGCTATTAATGAAGCTTTCAACTTAAGCGCCATGAATTGCTGACAGTGGTTTAGTTTTAACCTTCCGATTACAAAATATGCACCGAATAAATATGGATCAACGTTTCGAAATACTCAAAACTTACTTTGAATATGACTGTGATCGCAGAGACAGCAAGAAAATTGCGTTTGGAAGAAATGAGGCGCCGTCAAACCAAAGTATTACAAATTTGATCGAAAAATTGCGCAGAAATGGAATGCTGGTGGACATAAAAAATGTTTCGCATGCTCGTCCTAGACGTACACCTGAAGCAATCGCTGCTGTAGCCGAAAATGTACGCATGAACGCATCAACATCAACTCGGCGCAGATGTCAACAACTCGGCCTTTCCCGTACCACTGAGGATGATTCTGCACAAAGACCTCGGTATGTTTGCGTACAAAGTCCAGCTTGTTCAGGAGTTAAAGCATCCACAACGTTTTGCTTTGCTGAGTGGGCTTTAAACCAGTTGAACGATGACCCTAATAGTCGTAATAATTGGGGAGATTATCACGTTTTAAAATAATCCTAGAAGGATTTTACGATTTATCAATTTCTTAAAAAAATGTATTATTATTTATTTTTTTTAACAGTTTTCCGGTAATTAATTTATATCTGCCGATCTGGGAAATGCTTTGTGCTGATTTTTTACTGTCTACCAGTGTTGTAAAAGTTACATTATTTTCAGTATCTAGTTACTGTTACAGTTACTTACCAAAATTTGTAACTATACCGTTTCAACTTTAAATTGAAACTAATCAATTTCAATTTGGAATGTAACAATTTCAAATTGGGATTAATCAACTTTTAATTGGTAACTAACACGTTAAAAATGGGAATAACTAAATTCAAATTGAAAACAATCAAATTCAATTTGGTACTAATCAACTTCAAATCGGAATTTTCACTGAAATTGTAATTCCGGTAAACAAGTACCTAAGTACCTATGTAATGATATGATATTTACATAGTTTTTCTCTACTTTGTTACATAATGATGTGCAAACATGCCATTAATTAAACGCTGTTGCTAGTAAACCGCGCGCGGTGTACTATTCTACACCGCCAATTACGTCATAATTATAATCCGTTTTTGTTCCCCGAGCGTTTAATATTTGACAACAAGCTAGATGGCTCAGATGGTAGTGCGGGCGCTTGGCATGCGAGAGGTCCCGGGTTCGATACTAAGAACTTTTTTTATTTTTTTTATTTCATAAATTTGTTGTTTCTTTGTTAAACAGTGTTCGGTTGGGTTGGGTTAGTTGGTTTGTTTCAGTTTTATCGTTACATAAAATCTACCAGAAGTTGTTGTTCCTTTGTTAAAGTGTTTTATTTTTATCGTAACATAAATTTGCCCATTTTAGTAGGGTTTTTTGCTCAATGGGGCGGGGGGGCCAATGGGGCGGGGTCGGTTGGGTTGTGTTGTTGAGTTTGGGTTGGTTTGGGTTTATGACGTAATATATAATTTGACGGTGCAGAATAGTACACCGCACGCGGTGCACTAGCAACAGCGTTAATTAAAAAGAAAGAAATTGGTTTACTTTACATGAAAAAGAAAATTAAATACTGCAAATACTTACCAAGTAAATGGCGTGACGAAAGATAACCTTCAAAAACACACGCTGCTTGTTTGTAACGCGCAAAATAACCATAGCGATACCATTGCCTGCAGCAGCGCCATCTCGTGCCACAGTTATAAACTACATGGGTTACAGAGTTCTCTTATATGTAATGCTTAACTCCAGTGTATAACAAAGCTGTTTTTATTTAGGCGGTTTGGGACGAAGTAGACATTAAATATAAGGACACTATGCAACAACAAATCGGAAATTAACCGATAAATTTAAAGGGGTATTATAGCCGATAATTTACTTGTCAATTATAAATAAAAAGATAATTATGCCAAAAATAATAGCAACGAATTCGAATGTAAAAGCCCTTTTGAGAGCAAAACTTCATTTTGATGAAATTATGCCAAATGCCACAATGGAAGAAAAAGTACATCGCCTTATGGACATTTTTGGAGTAAAAAAGTAACGAATTTGGTTTTATAAATATGACATCACACATTATTTTCGCATTATTCACCATTGGACAACATTTACCCTAGGAACATTTACGTTCACAAAAAAATTTAATTTTTTTTATAAAAATTCTTTTCAAAGCGAAGATTATTATCCGCTAGGAATACTTTCTCTTCTGGGCCGTAAAGCAACCTATATTTAACTACTTTTTTATATGATTTTACTCATCCAAGCACCACCAAAGCCAAATTAATTGCATTTTTAACTACGAATTTCGACAACTCAACTTGACAACTGCACAATGTAACCTACAATAATTTATACATAACCACAATTAGATTTATAACTAGCTTAGTTTGTTTTAATCAATGCGACCAAGTTGACAACGGTATTTACCAACCAAAACCCTAAATTTGCAACGTTGCCGCAGTCCAGATAAAAAAAAATGAACTTTACATTATTTTTATGATTTATGAAATTTATGATTTTGCCAGAAATAATTTTTCTATGATTTCTAAAATCATAATATTATAGTGCTAATTATGGAGATAGGCCTCTAATTGTTTTGATCGAGCAAATCTCGTTTATTTTTAAACTGTTTGGGTATATTCAGGTTTTAAACGATTTATTTATAAAATGGGTCAATGGATTAGCAATCGTTCTTCCTATATGTTTTAATAATTTAGATGATAGAACATCCACTCCGCAGGAGTTTGAAGATTTTATGTCAAGGGTTAAGTGGAGTTGCCTGGCTAGACTTCGCCTTTTAATTAATGTTTGCATTAATTAATAATAATAAAGACAATAATATTATTAATATTTAATGAGTTTAATACTTTATCGGTTGTTATGTTATAAATAAAAAATTTATTATATTGCATTTTGTCAAGGCACGTGTGTTAATTTGTACTAATTAACCGAATTTAAAAATAAATGTAGTTACAACTTTGTTAATTGCCTACACCATTAAATATTTTAAAATTTATGTTTTGTGATGCTTCTGAATTTTTCAATATCTTATTTTGCATCCTATATGAATGGAAGTTTATTATTAAATAAAATAGAAAAGTTACCATTCATTTTTAAACATTTCTAAAAGTTTACCAACCAAATAGTATTATTTTTATTTCTATTCACGATACAAACAAAGTTTCAATTATATGTTGCTAATAATATGTTCATTAACAATTTTTGTAATAACCATTTTAACCCAGAATTTTCATTTACCTAAATTTAAAAATAGAATCTGTATTGGTGTTCAGCACATATAAGTACATCAAATTTAAACATGAGGTTTTCATTTATTTTTTTAGATGTACGCAGGCTATGATGAAAACGAAATAGGCGCTCTGGATTGCGATGAGATTGAGGGCCACGTGCCGGGGACGTCCGACATGCTTCTCCAATACGCCGAAGAGTTCCGAAAGGCGCAACAGAGGGAGCACCTAGACGAAGATAAGAAAGAGATTGTGTCGAAAATCAAAAAGTTATTTGAGAAATCTGACGACGAAGATGACGAAAAATTTGTTACCATTACGGTTTCACAGAAACCCAAATGGGACTGCCAGAGCATATTGAGCACTTATTCAAATACTAGAAATCGACCTAAGCTGATAGAGGAACCCAAGGTAATATTTTTTTATTTAAAAAATTTACTTTGTAGTGCAAGATTCGTTACGCTTTTATAAAATTCCGATGCAAACACTGTGTTTTAAATTTCACATTTTTATTTTAATTTTGTTTTGCTAACAAAGTAGCTTTTTCAAAAATTTTGTTATATAAATTATGTTATTAGGTTATGTTTAAAAATAATTTTTGAATTTTAGCTAATTAATTGTCAAAATTAAAATAAAGACGTTAGACTTAAAAAACAGTGTTTTGTGACATGGGATTTCATCAAGTAAAGGTCGAAACAATAAAATATTTAATTAAAGTAATTTTATTAAAATGTATTTTGTTTATTTGTAAATTTAAGTATAATTCTTAATTGATAGCAGATACTAAATTTAATGATTTAAGGAAAAAAGGCTTATATAAACGCCACCGCTTTATTTTGAAGAAATATCTTTAAAACTGTTTATTTATATTTTTTTAATTTTATTAGGTGACAATTGGGCAATATATTTTGTTCCCAACTAATATTTGTTGTACTTCTACCAGTGCCGTCGAATAAAAAAAATTACGGTACTGAAAATCCATTTTGACAATGAAATTTTGTTTTGCTTTAGAAAACAAAAATTGAGTAAACTCAATTAATTTTTTATATTTTTTTTGTATGAGTAAACTCTCTTAATTTTTTATATTTTTTGTATGTAGTAAACATTTACCTACAATTTAAAAAAAAATGTAACGATCGAAACAGTTTTGTCCAATTTATCGCATTTTTAAGAAAAAATGTCACGCGTAGAAAGGGAAAAAGTCGATGTTTCTGTTCATTTTTCAAAAATTTCCTACGGGTGAACCAAACCAATTTAAGCAAAAAGAAAAAATACGGGTCTCATTGGTTTCGGTAGAGAAACTGTAAACAAAATTTCGTTGAAAAATAACGACCCACCCCTTTTTGCCTGGTCGATTTCAGATGGAAAGACCCCATGAACATTTTAATAAAATTAAACCATGGTTTAAATATTTTAGGCCAACTTAAACTTCAATAATTAATTAATGTTATTTATTTATTTAAAGAAAGCTAGTTGTATTTCTAGACTAGTTAATATTTTTGAAAATTTCTCGAGGCATACTTAAAAATATATAATAAAAAACGATTAGTTTGCGTTTTTAACGTAAACAGATGTATGTATGATATGTATTTTGTATAATGAATAAAATATACACCAGAAATTTTCTCTGCCGCTCTCTGCCATTCTCGGGCAAAAAGTAGTGACAGAGACACGGCAGAAAACCTTTGCCGTTTCTCTGCTGTTTCTCTGCCAAAAAGTAGTGACAGACTAAATGTAAACAAGGCGGAGAATGGCAAAGAAAAAGAGAATAGCAAAAAAATGGCAGAGCACAGCAGAGAAAATTTCCGCAAGTGTAGAATGATAAAAAAGCACATTTGTTGTATGCATGGTAAGTATATTATTTATCTAGTTTGATAAACGCCATTTTAGACAGGAATTTAATTTATTTAAATGAGTGTCTAGAAAAGTTTATAAACGAGTTGCATACTATACTTTTTTTACGACAAAACTTATTATCCTAAAAATGATTTAAATTAAATATTTGTATAGAGCGACATTTTTAACTTACCTGTATTACCGGCGCGCCAGTTAAAATGTCAAATTTGTCCCTAATCCCTTAAAAAGAACCGTTAAATGATGATGTTAAGTTTTTCACAGTAAAAGTGACGAGAATGAACTTCACAGTGAAGTCTCCACTCGAAATTTGTAATGCTTTCAGTTAAATCTAGTTGACCCATTTGTTTGCGAACAAAAACACCATATTTTTACAAAATACAAGGCCTACTTTGTCTGTTATAAAGTAAATTTTTAAGAACTCATAAAAGCGATTTAAAAAAAATCTATGTACGGCACTGAATTCACCACCCTTCAAAACGACCGTATACTAAATTTTATTGAAAATTTTTAAGTAGGACGACTTTGTTTCAAAATTAAAAATACACCATAATTACTAAACAAACATTTATTCTTAAATATTCTTATGCTTGGTTTTAGGAAATAAAAAATGCAATAGAAACTTAAAGCAATAATGAAACAAAAAGTAGAGAATTCCAAAAATTATCTACAATTAGATTTTCGTCACCTCTTCTACCATTTATTTCAAAACACTTTCATATTTGTTCTGTCGTAATACGCAGGCTTGTATTAACCTTGAACGCAGTTCTTGTAAAAATATGGCTAAACTTTAAAACAAATCCGGTTAAAATCGCACAACAAATAATATAAAAGATTTTACAGGGGTGAGTCGCAAAAATGGGTCACACTGTATAAACTTTTTAAATAGGTATTGGCGTTGAGAAACTATTTTATACTTACTGTCACCTAACTTAAAACTAACTTCAGCCCGTGACTAAAAACCTGTTGCTAACTTCAGCCCATGACTAAAGCGCCATAAAGCCACAGCTTGTCAATGTCAATTTAATAGGTTACTTAGTGTCATCACAGAACATAATAGAACTAAAAGTTCCTATTCTAATATTGGCAACAACGATTTTACAAGAGGTGGTCACGCTCTGGCCTACTTGATCTTAAGTTTTTCGATGCGGTTCCGTAGCCCGCGAAATTTGAATAGGTTATTATTTAAAAATACTTATTTTTGATTTAAAAAATACAAAATTATTTAAAATAAACATTTATTGGTACATATATACATAAATAGAAGGGCAATATAACCTAAATTAATGGTTTATTACACATAATGTAGTTAATTAACTACATTACATACTTTATATAAATTTGCCTGTTTAGATTTTATTGTAGTAAAATAAATAAGTTATTTTTAGATTTTCTGTAACAAAAATGAGATTTAATAATTACTTGAAGATAATATAAGTATTATATTAGTATATTTTAATACAATAAAACCTAAAGAGCCGAATTTCAACACATAAACTATTAATTGTTTAAAACAATTTGTTTTATACATTATAAAGACATTCAGTAACCTTTGAATAAAAATACATTGTAAGATATAATAAGTTTTTAAATAGGTACTTAGTTAATTAGTATCAGGTAATATAATTTGATCATCGTTTGTGCACATTCATCAAAGAGTCTCTGATATAATGCTAAAAAAATACTTAATTAACATTTACAACAGTCAATTTTCTTAGTGACAAAAAATCTTATTTAATACATTTTTAATACCTTGTATATATTACACAAAAATAGCAACATTACAGTTAAATCTATTAACATAGGTTATATGTTATATATAAATAAGTATTTTGTCAGACTAAAAAGTGGAATCCCACATAAAAATATACTTAAAATAAACAATTGGGATCATCCATAAAGTATATCACACCTTTTTGGAGAATTTCAGACTCCCTCCCCTCATGTCCCACATAATTTCATTATTATGTTATCTTAATCAATGATGTTATAATATTTTCAGTCTTGACCCTGGTGGCAGGTCTGCCTTTCCCCTAAACATGTGACCTACTTTATGGACAACCCCTTGTTAATAACATATGCTAAAAACTAAAATAAGTACAAATAAATAAAAATATATATTAATACCTAGTTAAAATAAATATAAATTTATATTTATTTAAACCAATTATGAAGAAAAATGATATATGAATTTGATTAGCATCTGCTACATTTTTCTATATTGTGGATCAAAAGTTAGAAAGTAAGCTGGATAGTTTTTAAGCAGGACCCCTCTGGCAAAACATTGACCAAAATATGGATAGTTTCATTCCAGAATAATTTCATTGGATATAACCTATAAAAATCTTATTTTAAAAACAATTTTAAATTTTAAAAATAAAATTTACCTTATTTATGTTTTAAGTGACGAGTTTACTCAATCCTTGTATCCTGTTTCTTCTTGGTTAGTCCTTAAACCATTTATTAAGGTGTGTTTCTTCACTCAACGCTTACACAATTTCCAAATAAAATTAACCATCATTTAATAACTATTAAAAGTAATGTTTAGTTAAGTATGTATACCCAAAGATATTATTATTATCTTTGTGTATACCTACTTAACTAAACATTACTTTTAGCAAATGCGGTCTAATTTAGCAAAAGCCTGTTGTATTATGTGAACACTAGTGTAAAATAATATTAATAAATAAATAAAAACAGGCATAAATATTAAAATATGAACTCATTAACATGGAACAAATGTATGGTTCGATTTGAGCAAATAATCATACCTATTTGCAAAATTATAAGATGGATATGAAAGAAAAAATACTAATAAAACTGTTAATGAGAGGACAAGTTGCTCAAATCAAAGCCGGATTAACGCAAATATGACAAAACTACATTTATATAAATATACATGCATAGGTATGAAAACAAAAAACAAAGCATTAATTAAGTAATTTGCGATTCAACAATTTGTTTCTATAACTAACTGAATGGTTTATTTAGTTTAGAAATTCAAAACTGGAGTTTTATAAAAGTTTATCACCTACCACAATAATTAAACTTACCTTAAAAAAACCAAAACAACACACAATTTCAAACAACAACATCAGCCATTGTTGAAAACTACATAACACACATAACAAACTGTCAAACTTTACGATGAGTCACACCGACAAGAATGATACGCGCATGAGCAAGATGGCAAAAGATAGATGTCGCTCAAAAATTTGTTGCCAATTTCCTTTAAAAAGCTGGCCCCCCATGGTGTCATGGAAATATACGATAATGGGCGTTTTAAATGTGGGGGCAGAAAAAACTAGTATTTTAACAATTATGGTGGTCAGATGATTTTAAAATATAAAATTAAACGATATAATAATGGAAATGTATCACTTTCTTAAAATTAATATTATTACTTTATAGTTTTAAGGAATAAATCAAATAATAAATAATAGTTATTTATGTCATAAGGTTCAGAAGTGAGTCTTTGTGTTGAGCTCGAAGCACAAAAATACACTTCTCAGCCAAACGGCTTACAATATTTTATCTTCAAGGAACAATTCTATTTG